GTGCAAGTTAAGAAACTATATTATTTAAAAGTGCAGCACAATAAATAACCCTGCAAAATGCTTACCATGGTATAAATACAAAGGTCTTATACATTTTTTAGCGCCTAAACCTAAACTTATCTGGATAGTTGTCTTCTTCCAGTCACGGCTCTAAGCGCAACCGAGATGACCTCAGCTCACGGAAGCACAGGTCAAAACCAGTGGCCAGTAGTGGACAGTGATGTAAGGAACTCACGAAGTATGGGCTGCCTGCCTCGTACTCAAAATTCAAGGTCAAAAAAAAGGAAGGAGGAAACACACCACCATTTCCTTTATTGATAAAAAAAGGCGTGGCAAATTTCGTGGCGCCCAACATGGGTCCTATCGTTTTAGACAAACTTACAGGTACACAGAGCCAAATAATTTGCTGAATCTTTTGAACAGATTTTTGAAGATCTATTGAAATCTTTAAGCCGACTAATGTTTTATGATTGATTTTTTTATTGATACGGCAACGGTAATTGCTATTATTGATTATATTACTTGATATTGACATTTTTGATTATTGCGTTTCCTTTTTTCTCTTGCTGGTGTAAGGTTAGTTTGATTGTCTACAAAATTGATTCCCAAAGTGGTCTATATCGACCCCTAGGGGTCTATGACAAGCTGCAAGGGGTCTACGTCAGCGAAAAAAAATTTGGGGGTCCATGAAATGAATATGGGGGTCCACGATAGTGGATCTCAACACATACACTGATAGTACCTATTTACTTACATCATACTATCTTATAATATCAAAACATATACATTATTTATAAAAGTACCTATGAAGTAAAAAATGTATTATATATGTTTATAAAATTGTGTAAATTGTAGGATGTTGGTATTCGCTTTGTGGTCGCAATACATTTTGAACTTGTAAAAACCTGAGAGTCGCAGTCTCAGAGCTTCGCTACCTTGCACTGACTTGTTCAATTCGTCACTCTATAAATATGAATGTGGGACAAATACGTTTATTCGTTTCCTGAATCTTGAAAAAGGAAAGCGCTAAGAAAATATTTTAAAAAATATAAACAGATACTATATCACACAAATTATAGTGAGTCAGTGTTATTTTGTTTGAGAGTGCTGGAGAAAAGTAAGTACATTATTTTTTATTAAATTTTAGTTTTGTACTCGTAGTTAGCGAAGATAGATAAATTACGCCAATCATGACTTTAGTCATTAGTAGTTAAATATTCAATCATGCAAAATTACACGAGTACTCCTCAATAGTTTCTTTTTGAAAGTTTTAGCAATCGGTAATATAATTACAGTGCAATCTCCGTAATTCGAGCTAATTGTTGCAAGATGTTCGAATTATGGAATGTTTTCGGAAAAATCAAAAAATATTTTTAATACTCAGCTGCTGGATTTTCTGTCTTATTTAAATAATTTAATTTTGCCCACAGATGACTCGGGCCATGTCCGAATCTAAAAACAAATGTAGACAGTACAGTGTTGATTATTTGTAATTTGGCTTCATTCCATCATTGCCGGACAAACAATCGCCTATGTGCCTTTTATGCAACAAAGTTTTGGGCAATGACGCTATGAAACCATATAAACTGCAAGATTATCTGAGAAGATGCCACCCTGATAAAACAGAGAAAGGTTTGAAATACTTTCAAACACTCAAAGATAAATCTCAGAAGAGACCTACACTGGACAGAATGTTCGCTTCGAGGTCACAAAGAAATGATGATGGTTTGCGGGCGTCTTACAATATCTCGTTACTTATAGCAAAATCCGGAAAACCGCATACTATCGGAGAGAAGTTAATTTTACCAGCCGTTGAAGAGGTTTTAAAAACTGTTTTACACAAACCTGCATCTGATATCATTAAAAGAATTCCCTTAAGCAACAATACTGTTGAAAGACGTATTGATGAAATGAGTTCTGATATTGAAAGCTTCTCATGTAATTATTTGCAAACGACCCATTTCTCTATACAACTGGACGATTCAACTTTACCTGATAATGCAGCATTATTATTGGCATATGTTCGTTTTATTACGAATCAAGAAATCTACGAAGAACTGCTCTTCGCAAGAACTTTGATAACCGACACTAAAGGTGAATCAATATTTCATGTTTTGAAGGATTACTTCATTGAAAAAGCAATTCCTTTATCAAATACAATATCAGTAGCTACAGATGGAGCACCTGCCATGGTTGGTAGTTATCGTGGATTTATAAGCTATTTAAAACAAAATTTGTCAGGGGTGTTAGCAATACATTGCGTCATCCATCGACAACATCTAGTTGCTAAAAATTTGAGTGTTAGATTGCATGAATCACTTCATTTAGTCATTTTTGGGACTATTTTAGAATTTCTGGATACTAAAGATAAAAATTTAAGAGAAAATTTAATGAAGAGGAAAACAGACATCGCCTATTTAACAGATTTGTTTACAAAATTTAATATGGTTAATTTGCAATTAAAAGGCGACAGTTTAAATTTGATTAAAACAAAGTCCATCTTATCAGCGTTTCTTGCCAGAGTTAAACTAATGAAGCAAAATATTGGACGGGGCGAATTTTCTCAGTTCCCCAATTTGTCACAGACAAGCTGCCAGGAAGACGACGTTTCAACTTACGTTCAACATTTAAATGCCCTCTATTCAGATTTTGAATCTAGGTTTGAGAATATTTTGACTATGGTAATACTACCGTGGATAGTTAATCCATATGGTGACATAGAAGAAACGAATGTCATAATACAAGAGGAACTGACTGAACTAAGTACAAACGAAGAACTTAAGGTTCAATTTAAAAACGGATATCAGCAATTCTGGCTGCAAAACAACATAGCCGTTACTTATCCCGTATTATGGAATATAGCGAGGAAATTTTTAATTTCCTTTCCATCGTCATACCTAGTGGAAAGGGGGTTCAGCGCTGTTACCAATCTCCTAACGAAAAAAAGAAACAGACTGGACATCATTAGCCGAGGAGATTTAAGATTAACCCTTACAAAATTGACGCCAAATGTTGATAATTTATTATTAAAGCATCAGGTTCATCCTTCTCACTAAAAATATTGACTTATTGCTTATGTTATTTTATTTATAGTTTATTTTATGTTTATTGGTGTCACTTTTTTTTTTATTTTATCCCTCTTATTTTTTTTTCAATGCGGGAACTTATTCCCAATGCGTGCACTTATTGGTCAGACACCTGTTTATTTAATGTTACGTATATTTTACATAACAGATACATAATTTTATTTTGAGTAGTTTTAATTTAAATTCAATTAATAAATGTATAAATTAACATGTGTTTTTACTTTAAGTTTTTAACACTAAACTTCACTACAGTTAGAAATTTACAGGATATCAATATCAGGTAAGTAGGGGGACTACCCAACACGGAAAAATAGGCAAGGGGTCTACGACACAAAAAAGTTTGGGGAACTCTGGTCTACAAGATGGATTTTAAAATGGAAGTACAGTAATTCGCCGAATTTTCGTAACTTCATTTCTCTGTAATTACTGGGATCAAAAGCTTCTTAATAATAGAACGTGTTTCACATATCAAAGATGAAATATATAATATCACCTTACTCTAAATTCCAGTTTTTAAGCACTACATTTTTTTATGACAATCATCAGGAATCCCTGAAACGTCAAAAACGGTGTTTCAGCGATTATTATATATATATATATATACAGGGTGACTTTGAAGTTGAGTCATTAATTTTCAGATAATGATTGTAGAAGGAAGATAAACCAAAATATGTGTGTAAAAGTAAAAAAAAATTTTAAAAAATGTTCAGCATTTTCGTAAACATGTGCCATTTTTTATTTCGTTTGAGCCACGCAACAAAGACCACTATTCACTCACGCGTTACAGACTGACACATTGACTGAATACAACTGAATAAAATTGTAGTAAAAACATCGTGATAAGCGTTTCACATTCTTTCGCTTTTTTGCTTCCGATGCGATGAACCGATAAGGCGGATTATATCCGTTGTTGCCAAACACTAACTAGCACATAATATTATTATTGAGACAGGGCGGTACTCAAACTTCTAAAGCGCTATAACTTTGTTACTTTAATTTTACCACAAAAATGTTAAAGGAAAAAAAACATTTCTTTTGATCAAATCTACTCGCTGTTAAAATAAATGACTCAACTTCGAAGTCACCCTGTATATATAACTTGAGACATGGTGATTGTCGTCTAAACCAGTTAGGTGAAAAATAAAGCTTCCGCCTTTAGTTGGACACTTCGACAAGATTCAAGCAGTGAGGACTCTTTATACTTTATTAGTCTCTAGCTTTCGATGGTCTATGCCATCATCTTCAGCAGCTAATGTTATTGTAGCTGTGATTATATTCAGGGGTTCAATTCAATCAGAAAGTGTCTTCTGAAAATGTGATATCTTTTTCTCGGCTGTTCGAAGCAATTAAACATAACATACTGGACGCAAATTTAAAAGCTGTCATAAAAACTCATTTGCAGGCGCTGGAAGATGAATTTCGTCGATACTATCGAGACATCAATTCAGAGTCACCAATATGCCACATAACAAAAAATCCATTTGTTGTCGATGTGTCACAATTACCACAAGAGGTTCAGGAAGAATTTCTAGAAATGAAGGCTGATTCGTCCATGAAAGATGACTTCCATCTTTTAACATTGGAGAAATTTTGGATCAAAAGATTGCCTATTACTTCGACACTTGCCTCTATTGCTTTACGAATACTAGTTCCTTTTTCTTCAACTTACCTATGTAAGACAGGCATTTCTGCTCTAGTTTTAATCAAAACTAAACAGCGAAATCGACTTGATGTCGATAGCGACCTGATGATAGCTCTGGCAAAAACACAACCTAGAATCAACCAACTGGTACAGAACATGCAATCTCAAGTGTCTCATTAGTACTTACTCTTATTTTTCGATAAAAAACATTTATTAGTTTATTTAAACTCTTAAAGTTTCTTTATTAGAATTAAAATAAAAGTCTGTGTACCTATATAATGTGCGTTATTTGTATTTATTGAAAAAGTAAAGGGGGCTTGAAGATATCATTTATAGTCCTGGGAGCCTTAACAGAAAAAAGGTTGGGAAACAGTTGCAAACTAGTGGCGATATACCATATTTTACAGTAAATGGTTTCTGCGACAGTGCTTAGTTGATGTTAGATGCTCTCCAATTCCATATTCTTTTTCATCATATAGGTACTCGTAACTTGAAATAGAAATATCAGGAGCGACATTGATTGTTGGCTATGCTGAAATAGGAAGTGATTACATGAATAGATTTATATAAAATATGAAAGAAGATGCTTACACTCAATAGAAAGCTTGCATTCATTTCCATGAATCCATAGTAGTCAATCGCTATCTTCTCATGGAGCAACTGAACCAAGAAAGTATTCTTCTGAAAAAGAATATAACTTTATATTTTCTGATCTAAGCTCTAATTCTTCAGATGGTGTAAATATTTTTTTTGTAAATGGCAATTAAAAACTGTTCCATTATTTATCTTGTTGTGCGTATTTCTAACACTCCAACATCTTTAATCATCAATAGAATATCAAAACATAAGGCATTTTTAAAAATCCGATGGACATAAGTTTTGCGAAATAACGAAATTTTAATTAAATATCTAATGATTAATTATATATATACTAAGTGACATATAAATCCGAACACCCAGTTTAAATGGTTTCATTTTAATAAAATTTTGTATAAGTACTTAATGAAGCATAATAAGTAAATGATAAAAATTTCAAAATGATTGCACTGCTTTAAAGCCCTTTGACCTTTAATAATGTGTGGATGCACCCTGATGTGCTACGCATTCTTCAACGCGCCTAGGCATGCTTCTGATCAGGTGGTCAATGTCCTCCTGTGGTATTTCATTCCAGACAACCACCAACTCCTCTCAAAGTGCTTCTAGAGTCTGAGGAGGACGTTACAAATTGAGCAATCTCCTACCCATCATATCCCACACGTGCTCAATTGGGGATAAGTCGGGAGATCTTGGTGGCCATGGTAACAATGTGACATCATTATGTTGAAAGAAGTCTATTGTGACTCTTGCAACATGTGGTCGGGCATTATCTTGTTGGAAAGTAGGATCTGCCAGGGTGTCAAGATAGGGTAAAAGATGGGGTTCTAGAACTTCGTGGATATAACGCTGCGCGTTCTAGTTACCTCTGATGAAGATTAAAGGTGACCTGGAACCATAAGCTATAGCACCCCAAACCATAACTCCAACAGTGTGATGAACATGTCTTTCAACAAAAAACTGTGGATTCCTCCTTTCAACACGTCGCCTTCTAACCCTGGCAAGGCCATCGTGCATGCCTAAACAAAATCGAGACTCATCACGAAAGAGAGTTCCATTCCTGATCCCAGAGTGACCGTTGTCTGCACCACTCAAGGCGATTACGTCGGTGTTCTCGAGTTAAAGGGAGGACCCAGTGTGGCCGGTATGAAAACAAGCCAAAACTTCTCATTCGTCGGTAAACACTTCGCATGCCAATAGGTCTTCTGTGTTCTGCAAACCATTCATTTGCAATGGTCCTGGTAGTGGAGAAACGGTCCCTTAAGGCCAATAATCTTAGGCGGCGATCTTCATGGTCTGTTGTTCTACGGCGGCGTCCAGTGCCTCTTGCTCTTTACGTACGGCCTTCTCGAAGCCATGCCTGACAACACCTAACCACAGTGTCTACACTTCTTTGCACTCTAACAGCAATTGCCCGAAAAGAAAGTCCAGCTTCCCGAAGTCCCACTATACGGCCCCTATCAAACTCACTAAGTTGACGAAATCGTACAGCTCTCCGTACTCTAGGCATCGTAACCGATCGTAAAGGCTGTCAAGAACCAAAATCCGCCAACGTTGATTCTTTACTGCGGCTGAAGTATTCATTTTTAGAGCATTAGTGAATTAAAAAAAAAGCAGTATAAAAACCGGAATGTCCAACTGATAAGGATGAAAATTTTTTCACTTGTTATTTACAGTAAGATAAATACATTCACCAACTTTAATTAAAATAAAACCATTTAAACTGGGTGTTCGGATTTATATGTCACTTAGTACATATATGTTGCAGAAAGTAAATCTGCATTCCACACAACATTAAGCCAGCATTTTGGTATTCAGGCAACAACAATAGAGAGCTTTCATGGCTGACAGGTTCTTTTACTTATACTTATACCACTACTTTGCTAGCTGGGAGTCTACGCGAACTTCCAAGAACGCCTCCAGCACTGCATCAGCGATTTCGGCCACCACATGCCTGATGTGATTTTCCACACTTGACTGTCTCAAATGCTATTTCCTTGTGAACCTGATTCCATCAATAAATTTGTTTTCGAGTAAAAATTAACTATTTTATGATTTTTTTAAAACCTTCCAGCCTCTCTGCCGCACCCTGTACAATTCGGGATGATTTTGTATAAGTATTTGGCATAGGGAGCACAAATATTCTTTTGGGTTTTAGGTTTTACAATTTTAATAGACTACTTATTACTAGTTTAGCGCTTTTGTAGATATGCTTATAAATATTATCATATCAAGTTAGTGATAGATAAAGATAACTTTGAATTTAGGATCATAACATTACTTATTTTTGAATAATGATTCGATACTTACTGCGCTTGATAGCTCATAGCTGCTGTAACATATCTCGCATTCTGCAAGTATTGGAGCTAATTCTGTAGGCTGAAAAACACCATTGAAATATTTATTGTAATTTAAAAAAACGACACAACCATGTGAGTTTTTGTTGATACATAACCAGTTTTTAGCCAGGTTTAGTGGAAATTTAAGCAAGACAGACTGCTGGTCAAATAATAATAATAATAATTATGATTATTATTAATAATAATAATCATAATAATAATGTTTATTGGAGCACTTATATAAAATAAATATATACTCGTATATACAGGGTGTAAAGTTAGTAGTGGATCAACGGATCAAAGATAGTTCAGGAGATATTTATAATTTTGTAAAATTTAGAAAAAAGGGATAATGAATTTTCAATCGCAATTACAACTAAACTATCAGGTTTAGGGCTGTGATTTTTTTCCTAAAATGAGCTCAATGGTTAGTTTTAGCAACGGTTATGTCACTTTTTAACAGAGCTTATTAGAAGTCGACGCAAAAAATCTTAAATTAATTTTTTGTGAAGAATCTCTTCCATTACTCAACTTTGGAGGGCGGTAAAAAAATTGAGGTTGTATTTCATTATTTATTTTATTGTAAAAACTATTTCAATCCATGTAGAATAAGCCCTTAAAATTTCAACTTGCTACGTGTATCATGTCACATTCGTTGTTGCGATGCGATAAACGTAAGAAACGCAATAGAATCCTTACCACCTATTGTGTTTCGCCGCTCTTGCCTTTGAAATGAATTTGCGTTTTCCATAATTTTTATTTTTGCCTCATCAATTTTCTGGCGCAGTTGGTTGACATTTGTATATTCAGATATATAGATTATCTCCTATCCAATGCCCAGGAAAGGCACTGTCTAAGTAATGCCGTACATCCCGTGCAAACTGGCATGGGGCACCATCGCATTGAAAAAATTCTGAAGGTATTACAGATATAACAGTAAGTGACATGTCAATGGAAAGGGCAATTGTTTCCGCAAAATTTTCCATACGGTTGGCTGGGGAATACCAAGTTCACATCCTACTCTGCTAGTGGACTGTCGCTGAGAACGCGTGAAACTGTGTCTAACTGCGTCCACCATTTCGTCAGGAAGTCGTGGTCTTCCGGTACTTTTACGTTTAGTAATGGAACCTGTCTTCTTGAATTGTCGATACCATCGTAAATGCTCTGATGACCTGGAGAACAAGTTCCATACCGCCGTCGGAATGCACGTTGCACTGTAACAACCGATAAACATCGCGCGTGCTCTAACACACAAAACGCTTTCTGCTGCATAGTCGCCATTTTGTATACTGAGCTCGTGGCGCTACCTAGGGAGGTAAAGCGGCGTTCGCAAGCACGTGCTTTAAACTCGAACATTTTTCTTTTCTAGTGATATGTCATTTGATATTATAATGGGTGATTTTTTTTGCTAGTATCTTTTTGGCAACACTGTTTTTGACAGATTACGCGTGAATCGTGTCTTGTGTCATTTTCAAACTTGATCAGTTTGGTCTATAATTTAACAATGAATCGACTTACGAAGGAACAACGCTTGCAAATTATTGAATTTTACTATCAAAATGCATGCTCGGTTAAGAGAGTGCATCGAGCACTGCTTCCAATTTATGGGCAATTTGGTCGGCCTACTGAGGGCTATATTCGGAAGCTTGTGACTAAATTTCGAACCCAGTTTACATTATTGGACATTAAACCACCAACACGCAGACGTAGAGTGAGGACTGAAGAAAAGATGTATTGCGGCTGTATCCGCCAGTGTTAGTGATGACCGTGAAATGTCGATTCGCCGCCGTTCGCAGCAATTGGGCTTCTGTTACTCCACTACGTGGAAAATTTTGCGACAGGATTTGGGTGTAAAACCTTATAAGATACAGCTGGTGCAAGAATTGAAGCCACACGACCTCCCACAACGTTTCCAATTTGGTGAATGGGCGCTGGCAAAGTTGGAGGAAGATCCACATTATTATCGAAAAATTGTGTTCAGCGACGAAGCTCATTTCTGGTTGAATGGGTACGTTAACAAGCAAAATTGCCGCATCTGGAGTGAAGACCAGCCAGAAGCATTGCATCCCGAAAAAATCAGTGTTTGGTGTGGATTATGGGCAGGTGGCATCATCGGGCCGTACTTCTTCAAAAAAGACAATGTCCGGAACGTAACTGTGAATGGCGAGCGCTACCGTGCGATGATAACAAACTTTTTTTTGCCCAAAATGGAAGAGCTGGACATGTGGTTTCACCAAGACGGTGCCACGTGCCACACCGCACACGAAACAATGGCCCTATTGAGAGGCGAGTTCGGTGAACAGTTTATCTCACGTTTGGGGCCCGTCAATTGGCCGCCTAGATCGTGTGATTTAACGCCGTTGGACTATTTCTTGTGGGGCCATGTCTACAGGGATAAACCAGCAACGATTGACGTACTGGAAGCCAATATTGAATCATCTATTCGTGAGATACCGGCCGATATGTTGGAGAGAGTGCGCCAAAATTGGACCTTGCGCATGGGCCATCTAAAGCGGAGCCGCGGCCACCATTTACATGAAATAATCTTTAAACGTTAAATTATATCGACCGTTCTATCGACTCAAATAAAGATTTAATCGTTTTTTCAAATTTTTTGTGTTTTTTTTTTGAAAATCTCTCTCTTAAAAAGTCACCCGTTATTTGCAATACTCTCTGAAATATAAATTTTTAAAACCCGATGATTCTTTTGTAATAACCCTGTACATACATGCGGCTTCGAACGTCCAAAGATACATCCTCTAGCAGCTCATGCAAACTGCTTTGTAGAAAAGCAAGATATGACTGACTATTCAACCTGACGGGCAATTCATATGGTCCAATTATTTTTTTGTACTCCAGCCCATAAATTAACGCCGAACTGACGTTGTAAGCTGTGTCGGCGAATAGCGTGTGGATTTTTCAAGCTCCATGAATGGAAATTGTGCATGTTGAATATTACATTTCGGTTAGTTGGATTCATTTGTTCATAAGGTGCTGTCAAAAAAAGTTTCATCCTCTTCTCACCTTCTCAACATATTCTCAGAAAATTCAACCCGTTGTGCATAGTCGCTTGGAAGCAATTCTTGTAATTTTTGTACATGGTAAAGATGGATGTTCTCCGAGCGTAGTATGGTGTGCATTGAAGTATGGAATATGTTTCTGCTTCGGGCAATGGCTCTCGTGCTTATAGAGGGATCTCTCTCGGCTGCTTCTATTATATCTTCTATTTCTTCTGGGCGTATCCTTGGCGCTCCTAGCTAACGATAAGTGCCCAGTATGCGGCGCTGCATATACGAATTATGGACGCGTAGAAAGCATTTCCTAGGGCAGCACCATAATAGTAATGCATTTCTGCATAATCTCGGGAGAATATGACATGATCCTACTCAGATGCCAAACGTTGGATACAAATTCCGCGCTGGACCATTTCCTGACTCAGTAATTTCGGTTGGACCGAAGATTGAACGCTCCCGCACCTGGAATGACTAGTTGAATGCCCAAGCTCATTAAGCTGATTTGGCTAATTGCGTGAAAAATCCGCCATTTTGATTTTACAAAATGTTAATACACTCGCACTGCCAGAACGAATCTGACAGTACCTCATATGTCAAGATCCATCAAGTATTTTGGACCGTAGCTCGAATTTCTTGTTCACCTGTATAGATACCCACCTGCGTCAAACATATAGATTTTTTAAGGTGCGCCACCTATCATAGCAAGCTGAATTTTTCAGAGTTTATTCTACATGGGTTGAAATATCTTTTACAACAAAATGAATAATGAAATACAATCTCAGTTGTTTTTACCGCCCTCCAAAGTTGAGGGATGGAAGAGATTTTTCACAAAAATAGAATTTAAGATTTTTTGAGTTGATTTCTAATTAGCTCTGTTAAAAAGTGACATAACCATTGCTAAAACAAACCGTTAAGCTTATCCCAAAGAAAATGACAGCCCTAAACCTAATGGTTTAGTTGTAAATGCGATTGCAAGTTCGTTATCCCGTTTTTTTTTTTCGGAATTTCACAGAATCGCAAATATCTCTTGAACTATAAAATTTTGGACCACACGTATAAGGGTTCATTCGATAGGTTTTGAGGCCCTCTATCACCAGTCTTCCATTGACCCACTATTAAGTTTACACCCTGTATATAAAAAAACAACACTCCAAAGGGCTGAGGATTGGCATTGCCATCTTTCAACGTCGCCTATAGCAATTACCTAGATATTAAAACTATTTTATATTTTCACGAACTTCATCTTATCGCTAATTTTACATAAAGTAAAGTAATGTATAAAATTGAAGTACCATTGTAAATAAAATTTAATATACTAAGTGACATATAAATCCGAAAACCCAGTTTAAATGGTTTTATTTTAATAAAAGTTGGTGAATGTATTTATCTTACTGTAAACAACAAGTGAAAAAATGTTCAGCCTTATCAGTTGGACATTCCGGTTTTTATACTGCTTTTTTTAAATTCACTAACGCTCTAAAAATGAATATTTCAGCCGCAGTAAAGAATCAACATTGGCGGATTTTGGTTCTTGACATCCTTTACGATCGGTTACGATGCCTAGAGTACGGAGACCTGTACGATTTCGTCAACTTAGTGAGTTTGATAGGGGCCGTGTAGTGGGACTTCGGGAAGCTGGACTTTCTTTTCGGGCAATTGTAGTTAGAGTGCAAAGAAGTGTAGACACTGTGGTTAGGTGTTGTCAGGCATGGCTTCGAGAAGGCCGTAAGCAAAGAGCAAGGGGCACTGGACGCCGCCGTAGAACAACAGACCGTGAAGATCGCCGCCTAAGATTATTGGCCTTAAGGGACCGTTTCTCTACTACCAGGTCCATTGCAAATGAATGGTTTGCAGAACACGGAAGACCTATTGGCATGCGAAGTGTTTACCGACGAATGAGAAGTTTTGGCTTGTTTTCATACCGGCCACACTGGGTCCTCCCTTTAACTCGAGAACACCGACGTAATCGCCTTGAGTGGTGCAGACAACGGTCACTCTGGGATCAGGAATGGAACAGTATTGTCTTTAGTGACGAGTCTCGATTTTTTTTAAGGTATGCACGATGGTCGTGCCAGGGTTAGAAGGCGACGTGGTGAAAGAAGGAATCCACAGTTTTTTGTTGAAAGACATGTTCATCACACTGTTGGAGTTATGGTTTGGGGTGCTATAGCTTATGGTTCCAGGTCACCTTTAATCTTCATCAGAGGTAACATGAACGCGCAGCGTTATATCCAAGAAGTTCTAGAACCCCATCTTTTACCCTATCTTGACACCCTGGCAGATCCAACTTTCCAACAAGATAATGCCCGACCACATGTTGCAAGAGTCACAATAGACTTCTTTCAACATAATGATGTCACATTGTTACCATGGCCACCAAGATCTCCCGACTTATCCCCAATTGAGCACGTGTGGGATATGATGGGTAGGAGATTGCTCAATTTGCAACGTCCTCCTCAGACTCTAGAAGCACTTCGAGAGGAGTTGGTGGTTGCCTGGAATGAGATACCACAGGGGGACATTGACCACCTGATCAGAAGCATGCCTAGGCGCGTTGGAGAATGCGTAGCACATTAGGGTGCATCCACACATTATTAAAGGTCAAAGGGCTTTAAAGCAGTGCAATCATTTTGAAATTTTTATCATTTACTTATTATGCTTCATTTTGTACTTATACAAAATTTTATTAAAATAAAACCATTTAAACTGGGTGTTCGGATTTATATGTCTCCTGAACTATAAAATTTTGGACCACACATATAATGGTTGATTCGATAGGTTTTGAGGCCCTCTATCACCAGTCTTCCATTGATCCGCTATTAAGTTTATAATAATAATAATAATAATAATAAATGGGCTTTATTTCGTACCTAAGTAAAAGTACAAAAAAGGCGAAGTGTCGCTAAAATTAGCGTTTTTCAACTTAACCTTAACCTTAACAAAAAAAATATATATATAACAAAACATTCTACCAACAAAAATGTATCCATAATTCTCAATAATTACTAAATAATTAACAACACAGAACAATTACAAGAATAGTCCATATTCAAGTTTACACCCTGTATATAAAAAACCAACACTCCAAAGGGCTGAGGATTGTCATTGCCATCTTTCACCGTCGCCTATAGCAATTACATAGTGATTAAAACTATTTTATATATTCACGAACTTCATCTTATCGCTAATTTTACATAAAGTAAAGTAATGTATAAAAGTGAGGTACCATTGTAAATAAAATATAATATTAAATCGTAAGTTAATAATCTGTAGCTTTAGTAGCTTGTAACTGGAGAAGCATCTTGTTGAATTCCTCTTTAAAATTACCACTCGAAGTAATTTGGAAAAGTTGTATATATTTATTCAACAAACAAGGAGCAAGTGAAAGTTTTTTTGAATTTAGATGTTACATGGCCTGGAAAATACAGGATGTAAACGTTATTGTAGTCATTATTAATAGGGGGGTCAAAACAAGTCAAAAAGTTCATATGACCCATGGTCCACAAGTCAATAGATTTTTGTCTAAATGGCTTTATAGTTTACAACTTTAAGTGCTTTATATCGATCACAATCTTACTAATTTGTATAATCTAATCTAAAACGTTTTTAAATTGGGTAATTAACAAATAAACGGTATTAGGTTTTTCAAAGTTAAGCCAAAATTTGTAGTCAGTAAGAAAGTAAGTTTCATTAAATTGAATATTTAAAACACACATGACAACAGCGCGTCGATCATCATCACTCTTATCGAACCAACAATCGATCGCAAACGGTAACAGTGGTTAGTATGTTGTTTTGTTTTTGTTCGCGCACGTCGTCGTCTTCATTTATAGAATTCAAATATTACAGCTCACCCAGTACACCCAGACAGAGGGACATTTGTGCAAGTGTACCAAAGACTTCGAGATACAGGAAGTGTTCAGCCCAATAATATTTGCACTCGTGAAAGACAGGTTACTGTAGAGTAGGAGGAAGAAATTGTAAATATCGTGGAAATCAATGCAGATATCAGCACTCTGGAATTAGGCCGCCGCGCCGCGTAGGACGATAGTCCATAGAATCCTACGGGAAAATTTGCTTTATCCCTACCATGTACAACGAGTGCAGGCCTTGTTACCAGAAGACTATCCTCGCAGACTAACATTCTGTCAGTAGTTTTTGCACAAAAACACTGAAAATCTGGATTTTTTTAAAAACATTCTAGCGACGGACGAATGTACTTTTACGCCAAACGGGATATTAAATTTCCATAATACCTATTTACACGTGGGCCCAAGAAAATCCTCATACCATTCGTGAAGGTCATAATGAAGCTTGTGTGGAAAGTGGAGGACGACATTTTGAACACCTTCTTTAAATACAAAAAAGTGCAGTGTGGGTTTTAAAAAGAAAAAGAATGTATGCATCAAAATTGTGTTCCCTATTTATAAGCGGATTTTTTTAATACGTTCAAAAAACTTTCACACACCAGGTGAAGCGCTGAGACAGCTAGTGGTAAGTTCGTTTTTTTATACTAAAAGACATATAAATCCGAACACCCAGTTTAAATGGTTTTATTTTAATAAAATTTTGTATAAGTACTTAATGAAGCATAATAAGTAAATAATAAAAATTTCAAAATGATTGCACTGCTTTAAAGCCCTTTGACCTTTAATAATGTGTGGATGCACCCTGATTGGCTACGCATTCTCCAACGTCCAATGTCCTCCTGTGGTATCTCATTCCAGGCAACCACCAACTCCTCTCGAAGTGCTTCTAGAGTCTGAGGAGGACGTTGCAAATTGAGCAATCTCCTACCCATCATATCCCACACGTGCTCAATTGGGGATAAGTCGGAAGATCTTGGTGGCCATGGTAACAATGTGACATCATTATGTTGAAAGAAGTCTATTGTGACTCTTGCAACATGTGGTCGGGCATTATCTTGTTGGAAAGTTGGATCTGCCAGGATGTCAAGATAGGGTAAAAGATCTGGTTCTAGAACTTCGTGGATATAACGCTGCGCGTTCATGTTACCTCTGATGAAGATTAAAGGTGACCTGGAACCATAAGCTATAGCACCCCAAACCATAACTCCAACAGTGTGATGAACATGTCTTTCAACAAAAAACTGTGGATTCCTCCTTTCACCACGTCGCCTTCCAACCCTGGCACGACCATCGTGCATGCCTAAACAAAATCGTGACTCGTCACTAAAGACAATACTGTTCCATTCCTGATCCCAGAGTGACCGTTGTCTGCACCACTCAAGGCGATTACGTCGGTGTTCTCGAGTTAAAGGGAGGACCCAGTGTGGCAGGTATGAAAACAAGCCAAAACTTCTCATTCGTCGGTAAACACTTCGCATGCCAATAGGTCTTCCGTGTTCTGCAAACCATTCATTTGCAATGGACCTGGTAGTGGAGAAACGGTCCCTTAAGGCCAATAATCTTAGGCGGCGATCTTCACGGTCTGTTGTTCTACGGCGGCGTCCAGTGCCCCTTGCTCTTTGCGTACGGCCTTCTCGAAGCCATGCCTGACAACACCTAACCACAGTGTCTACACTTCTTTGCACTCTAACTGCAATTGCCCGAAAAGAAAGTCCAGCTTCCCGAAGTCCCACTATACGGCCCCTATCAAACTCACTAAGTTGACGAAATCGTACAGGTCTCCGTACTCTAGGCATCGTAACCGATCGTAAAGGATGTCAAGAACCAAAATCCGCCAACGTTGATTCTTTACTGTGGCTGAAATATTCATTTTTAGAGCGTTAGTGAATTAAAAAAAAGCAGTATAAAAACCGGAATGTCCAACTGATAAGGCTGAACATTTTTTCACTTGTTATTTACAGTAAGATAAATACATTCACCAACTTTTATTAAAATAAAACCATTTAAACTGGGTGTTCGGATTTATATGTCACTTAGTATACCCTCAGAAATATATATTTTTAAAACCCGATGATTCTTTTGTAATAACCCTATATATTAATTTGCATTCACTGCTGTTTTGAATTTTGGAAGTAGCCTCGAATCAATACAACAAGCTTTAGTTTTTGTGGACAGACAATAATTTTTTTTAATATTTTGTCACCATTTCTAAATTTGTGTTAAGCTATGCAAAAGAGGGTATGAGTTTGAAAAAATAACTTTTTTTGGGGTCCCCCTACCCATGCATATAGTCCGAAACTCGACCATCCTTTAGCGCACTTCAGCAGCTGAGCTGCCATGGTGTTCAAGATAAAGCATTAATGGTGGATCGAGTATAAAGATATGATATTTGAACAATTACCTTCTGCTTGATCCATTTGGTCTCAACCAGCCAGATGAGCAACCTGACACTGATTCCGAAGATTGATAATGCATCCGCAATAGTGGCGTGTCCTTGATACAATATTGTGGCATGAACAAGCATTTGGTTCATATCCAAAAACAGAATAATAGCAGTGTCAAATGAATACATCCTCGTTAGGTTCGCCACTACTTGGTAGGTGTCCTCATAGTTCCTTGAGACCGCTAGAAATACTTCTATTGCTGAAGAGTTATGCGCTGCTCCTGTACAATTGTGTTTTATATTTGTCAACATTCCTTTCAGCCTGCAATGATTATAAGATGGAGTCAGGTAAAAATTGATCCAGTACTTTCCAGGCATTTTACATTACAATTGTACCTTTAACTATTTTTAACCACTTTTTTTTCTTTTAAGTGTGCAAATCATATGTGCACTTAGCGGCAAAACATTATTATTATAAAGGAAAATAAAAGTGAAATAGGCAGATTGGGCTCCGATACACCGAGCTCATGTTCCATTAACAACTAGCCACTTGTCACATTGTGAGGTAAGTGCAGGTAGCAGTTACCTATCTTATCTTCTGCTCGAATCCACTTTACATTCTCTATTTGTTATACACCTTTCTCAGCATGATCCTTTTCTCTATACAGGGTGACAGGTAAATAGGTGTAAAACATTTTAGGAGGTGATAGTACAGCTCCTTTGCTATCAAAATTAGTATATAATACCATACCCTATATTCAAAGGTTAAAAAGTTATGGAAGATTTAATTTTTTTTAAAAATCAACCCAGATTACAGAGTAAAGTAGTTGAGATAAAAAAAAGTCGATGATTAAAAATTCTTTTTTTGGTGGTTTCAGGTTATTATTTAAATAAATAATTCTCATAAATTAAAAAACATATGAAAACACTACTGAACATTTTTATTTTCAACTTTCACATTAAGAAGTCTTTTTTTTTCAAAAAAATCATAATAAAGAAAATGTACAAATAACTGCAAAAACTTACTCGTTTCATTAGGTTTCTAAAATGGTATAATAACATATCAGTAAGTAAACCATTTAACAAAACAGTATTACTTTGCTAGAAAGGACCGCTAAGCGCATTTCATTGTACTGAGCAGGTAAACCGAGCCTTTCATGGTTCGACTCTTTTTGTAATTTTTTGTGCCCGGTGCCGTTATTCGGGTTTAAGTATTCGGAATCTGTCGTCGCTCCTCGGAAGCAAGCTCTGCGTGTGTTATGAATTGACACAGCTGACGGATCAAGGAAAGGGAACTAACGCTTAGGTTAGTTAGTAGCAGAGATAAACCCTTCTAGTTAGTAGAATATCAACCTTTAACGCGGTAGGACGTAGTTTTACTTTTTTGATCAGTTTTAATAATGGCGATTTACCGTAACGAAGAATACGCTGATATTCTGTTTTGTTATGGTTTAAGTGATGGAACTTCCATTGAAGCCAGGCCAGAATACGAAAACCGTTTTCCGAATCGGCGAATACCGAGTCATCGAGTATTTGCTTCTGTGTACCAACGCGTCAAGGAAAGTGGACAGGTTCATGAGAGACGTCATGATGCTGGTAGACCTCGGTTGTTTGACGACGAAGATCGAGAGGCAATACTGGAATGCTACGGCAGAGACCCGACGACGTCTACACGAGTTATAGCAAAGCAGCTTGGTTTAACTCAGTGGAAAGTTTGGTTCGTTTTGCATTCGGCGAGACTTTACCCTTTCCATTACACACCGGTTCAGGTCTTAGAAGAAGGAGATCCCGCGAAGAATTGATTTTTGTCGATACATGCTTCATCGGGATCAAGAAGAAAACGACTATTTAACTAAAATATTGTGGACCGACGAGTCTAAGTTTGACAGAGAGGGGACAACAAATTATCACAACTTACATTATTGGGCCCCACGAGAGACAAATCCCCACATGGCAAAGCCAAGAGCCCATCAAAGAAGATTTTCGGCAAACGTGTGGATGGGAATCATTCATACGTATCTAATTGGACCAGTTTTTTGCCTGACAACCTGAATGGCGAATCATATGAAAACTTTTTGAGATCCGAACTCTGGGAGTATCTCGAAGACCTACCTCTGAATATCAGGATGTAGATGATCTACCAACACGATGGCTGTCCCGTGCATTTCCGTCTGGGCGTTAGACAGTGGCTGGACGAGAAATATCCTTGTCGCTGGATTGGCCGAGGTGGACCGACATCGGGGCCAGCGAGGAGACCAGATTTAACACCGTGTGACTATTATTTATGGGGGCACATGAAGTCACTGGTGTACGCTGAGCCCATACACACTCTTGCACAGTTGAAAGAAAGAATTATTGCTGCTGCTGACACTATCAGAGGACAACTAACTGGCCGCATCACGCGTACCAACATGAGAAAAAGACTACGGGCTTGCATAAGAAACGGCGGGCGTCAGTTCGAACAACAATTGCAATGAATTTTACCTTCATTTCATTATTGTATTTTACTTACCAATTGTAGTAACTTTTAGTCAGTTTTTATTATTCTGTAGTACAATTACAACTGTGCAAATAATCTAATCGTGTAACTTAACCGTAGTTTAAAATAATAACTATCCCATATCTTACAGTTACATTACTTTCACAAAAACACTTTCTTATCAATCAGAGAGTTGTGAAAATAGGAGACGAGCCATTGGTAAATTTACCCCCTATTGTTGTACTACAATACATTATGTTTAGTTTCACACAGTTTTTGTGCACTTATCATACTAATTTAGATTCCTTATGAAACAAGGATATTATTTAAATTGTTTGTACGTTTTTTTGTATACTGATTTTTTTGTAAAACACCTTACTTACTGTAAAACGTTATTTGTTTTTCTTAGTTAAACATTTTTGAATGAAAATAAATACGTTGTTTGGTATTGTTTTCGAATCTTTTTTAATTTATAATAGTTAATTATTGAAATAATAACCCAAAACCACAAAAAACAAATGTTTAATCGCCAAATTTTTTCTCTCTCGACTTTTTTACTCTGAAATATGGATTGTTTTTAAAAAATCTTAAATCTTCAATAACTTTTCAACCTTTGAATATAGGGTATGGTATTATATACTAATTTCGATAGCAAATGGGGCTGTACTATCACCTCCTAAAATGTTTTACACCTATTTACCTGTCACCCTGTATATAGTATATATTAATGATTTATCCAATGAATAACCTTATATTGTATGCTGTATGATTAATAACACTGGTGAACAATATTAAAATAATTTTTGTGACATGGACAAAACAAGGTGCTTATTATGTAGAACGTACCCAAAAGACCGGAAATAGCATTCGATTTTTTCTATCACGCAAGGTTTTCTTGCAATAAGGCATTCTATTTGCTGCTTATACTAGTAAAATATAAGGATATATGTGTAAGAGTACTAATAAACACTCGAATAAACATCAATCTCAGAATGTTGTTGTCGATGTATTACGGCGATACGTTGCTTTTGATGTATCTCTTAAAAATGTCCAGCAATAATCAGCAAGCAAATTTGGAGCACTATCAAATACATCATCCTTCATGATTTTCCTTATTTGTGGACCCACAAATATGCCCTCTTTAATTTTTACCTCACTAAGTCACGGAAATGTTTGTTTTAAATGCAGACATCCGCTTCCATTTCGATCTATAGCTTTCATAAAATGTTTCATCAGTCCCAACTTAATATGCAAAGGTGGAAGCAACACGTTTATGGGATCACCTATACTACAACTATTTAAAACTGTAATGACTCATACGCGTGATCAACACGTGATCAGAGCTCGATCCCGGCTTCCTTCCAGTACAGCCGTATAGCGTACGACATATGTCGTTTCTGTGGCTTTGCGGTGGTCAACAGCACAGACAGAGATGGAAATAATGGCTGATTGTTCTCCGCCGGTAGAACCAATGAAATCAAAGACGCGCCTCGACCGGCAGACTCATAGGCGTCGGCAACGCATTGGAACGTGTTTCGTTGAGCGATCGCATATTGTGTGTTTTTATAAGAATTGTTGTGTGATTGTTATTGTTGTGGTTTCTGTGGTTACTGTTTTGGTTATACTTAACCATGGAGAGTACAAATGGCACGAGTGGAAGTACTGAAAGCCACGGACCAAGTAGACGGCTTCGTAAAGCACTGAAGAGGGACGTGAAAGAAATCGTGCTCAACGTGTTCAATTATCTGAACAGAACTATGTCGCAGTGAGATGCACTCGCGCGTTGTGAAAGTATGACAGGCGTTCCAGAGTGGACCATTCGCAGGGTGGTGCATGAAAAGAAGAAAACTGGAGCTACTACTGATACAAAGTTTAATTTGAAGGGACGAAAGGCCGTTAAATTGGATAACGATAGCAAAATGGCGTTAAGGCGAACCGTACATTCATTCTTCTTTAGGAATGAGATACCAACCCTCAAGGCTGTACATGCAGCGATCAAGGAAAATGAAATTAAACCCCAAATGAGCGTCGAGGTAATGAGGAAATCCCTGCACGAAATTAATTTTCGTTACGAAACGCGTAATCGGAAGTCAGTATTGATAGAGAAACCTGAAATAGTCGCCTGGCGTCGAAAATACCTACGCGAAATGATTGAATATAGGCGACAAAGCAGAAAAATCTATTATTTGGACGAGACATGGGTAAATGCAGGTCACACAGTTAAAAAAACCTGGATAGACAAAAACGTAGTGAGTAACCGACAAGCAAGCATTGAAGGTTTGTCAACAGGTCTTCGTGGACCGTCAGGGAAAGGTCAAAGTTTGATCGTAACTCATATTGGTAGCGATAGTGGCTTTTTAGAAGAGTGTGACTTGATTTTCGTCTCTAAGAAAGAAGGTGATTACCATGGCGAAATGAATGCCAGCTGCTTCGAGAGCTGGTTTCAAGGGGTGCTTCAGCGACTTGAGCCCAACTCTGTGATCGTCATGGATAAAGCTTCCTACCATAGTCGTCGAGCCGAACGTGTACCGACTATGGGATCTCGAAAAAGTGACATGCAGCAATGGTTGCGCGAAAAAGGAATCCCGTTTGACGATTCATGAAAAGCGGAATTGTATGAAAAAATTAAACAGCACAAACCTGCGAACATTAGTTACGTACTGATGAGATGGCCCGTCAATGTGGTGTCACTGTGCTGCGGTTACCGCCCTACCACTGTGAACTGAACCCAATAGAGCTCATCTGGGCTCAAGTGAAGGGTTATATTGCGCGCCATAACACAACCTTCAAATTACCAGACATTAAGGTTTTACTTGAGACTTCCATACAGCTAGTAATGCCCG